TGCATACATACAAAAATAATGTAAAAGATAAAAATAAACAGGTCCCAGAAAACCTAGTACTGGTGGGGTGGCATTGACAAACAGGTAAAAACAAAATGTCATAGTGAAAGACAATACAAAGAGGACAGAATCCAGTGGTAGAGGTGACAACGAGGACAAGAATTTAGCTGGACCATCAGCTCTAGGGCAAAGGAACATTTGCCAGAAGCCTGAATGAGGAGCAGCCAGTTCTGAGATGTGGAAAAGTGTAGTTGCAGAAGAGGCTAAGCTAAGGAGATGGAGACCTTGAGGGGAGGAAGGAGGTATATTGGGCACACAGGGAGGCTGCAGGGAGGCAGAGGTCCTCAGGAACAGGGTACTCGGGGCTTGGGGATGCTCTCTATTGAGAGATGACGGGTGTGGGTTTTCACATCGTCTACGGCTGGTGAACTATGACAGCGACTTGGCCTTAGTGGCAGCTTGGGAAAGAAGTGTTGGGAAGAAAGAGGCAGTGACTTGGGGCTGTGGGGTTGTAACACTTGGAAGCTGATGACTCCAACATCAGAGACAAAAAATATGGAGACTGTGAGCTGGGCCTAAAACTGACAGATGGGACCTGTGGTTACTGTGGTGGAGTTTCATACCATTCATTGGTACCTGTAGAAAGCAACCAGCTCCATTCCACAAACCTTCATGGTCTTCACAGCTTCCATGGGCCTATTACCAAACAGGACTGGAAAAGAGGCTGGTTGGCAGGGTATGGTGGTACAGGCTAGTAATCCCAACACTTGGGAGATGAAGACGGGAGAAACGACATCATCCTCAGCCAGATAGTTGAGGCCAACCTGGACTGTTTGACACCTGGCTTAGCTGAGGGAGTGCAGGGTGAGCTTCTAAAGTGGCTGGACCACATCAGCCTGCTCTGAAAGGCTGTCTACTTCAGAGCTGCTGTCTCCTAGGCAAAGGTCATTCTGCAGAATCTCTTGACTACTAGAGCTGGAAACTGCGGCCCTGAGAGGGTAGGTGACTTGACCCAGATCCACGGGCACTGTCTGCAGTTGGGTTCTTTTCTGTGTCTTTTCAGCATGCGTCCCCCATCATCTCTTTGTGCTTTAGGCCTCCAGGTTCACAGCCCCTTCATCTCCATCCCATCCTGGCTCCCCCTAAGGACTTCTATAAGACACTGTCCAATGTTCTTCCTAACTCCACAGGCTGCTTGGGATGGGAATTGGGCATCATGGTCCTTGCTTGCTTGCTTCTGTAGTTCCTCTTCCCTTCATTCTCTTGTCCTCTATACCAACAGGTGATGTCACTGAAGACAAATGACTCATGGCTTGGTTTTTACTGTGATTCAACCTGCCTTCTCCTACCTGGACCATTACAGTAGCCGGTCTCCTTACTGCCACCTCCCTGCCTCTACTTCACTCAGCACATCACAGGTCATGCCATGGCCCACCTTTCAGTTTCCCTCCCTTCCAGCATCCAGCATCCAAACGCCACAGCTGCACACACTAGATTGGTCCCAGCTTTTCCTGCTGCCTATGCTCTTTGCCGTTTTGTCCAGCTGGCTCCCACCTCTCATTCAGGCCTCAGCAACCCCACCTGCCACCATCACAGCACCCTAGTGAACCCTTCCACATTGCAGTTCTGCATTCTATGGCATTGTAAAATCCCCAGAACTAGTATCTAGTGGGAACTCATGAAATATCTGGGAGCTGAATTAAGAGATGGAGATGAATGGTATTTAGCAGAAGTGCCTCCTTACAGTGCTCATAACTAAGCTCAGGCCAAAATTCATGTATCTTGTCTAGCTCCAGGGTGTCCATGACCCAAAGCTCACAGACAGGCAACCCTGTGGGTCAAATAACCACAAGAGTGTTTTGTTTGACTTATTCTATGGGTTAGCATATGGCTCAATGGGAAAACACTTGCTAAGCAAGCATGAGGACCTGAGTTCAGATGCTTAGCTCCCGTGTGCACCTGTAACCTTGTGATGGGAGATGGACACAGGAAAATCTCTCGAGCTCTCTCTCAGCCAGTCTAGCTGAAACCACAAGTTTTAGGTCCAGTGAGAGGCCCTATCATTTTTATTTTTTGGCCGGCCCTATATATAGCCTGGCTCCCCTTGAACTCATTATATAGATCAGGATGGCCTTGAACTTACAGAGATAAGCCTGCCTCTGCCTCCCAAGCACTGGGTTTAAAGGCATACGCCACCACACCTGACAAAGAGACACTGTCTTAAAATATAAGGTGGAGTAGCTGTAGGCTCATCAATTAAGAGCACCTGTTGCTGTTACAGAGGCTCTGAGATCAATTCCCAGCATCCACATGGACACTCACCACCACCTGTAACTCCAATGCCAATACATCTGATGCCCACATCTGGCCTCCTCAAGCACCAGGTGAGCATGTGATACACAGACACATATGCAGACAAAACATACATAGAAATAAGTAAAACTGTAAAGGCTAGTCATTCATTCCATGAATATTTATTGATATTGCACTGGAGCTGCAGCAGCAGACAGACAGACAGCATAGACAAAGAGCCCTCTCTCCCAGACCCGCTCTGTTCACTGGGACACTGTACCAGCAGAGGCAGTGGACTGGCTGGCTTCACCCATTCTAGCTCCTCACCTGGCTTTCTGAACATCCAAACTGCTCCCTGATGAGAAAGCCTGGCTCTGTGTCTAGGGTCACCTGTGAAGACTTCACCATACTCTCCTGAGCAATCACTGGGACCAGCCTGCTGGGATGGCACTATAAAAAGCTCAAGGAATACTGTGGTGGCTGGGTATGTTTTTATCCCAGCACTTAGGAGGCAGAGGCAGGCAGAGAGATCTCTGTGAGCTCAAGGCCAGCCTGGGCTACATAGAGAGTTCCAGGACAGTCAGCAATACATAAAACAAACCTGTTTTTTAAAAAAGAAAAGAAAAGAAAAGAAAGAAAAGGGGAGGAAAAAAGGAATGGGTTTCACTGAGGGGAAAAGCAAGCAAGACAGACAGACTGTGAAGTAAGTAAACCAAGTTAGGCATGGTGGCACACACTTTTATTCCAGCATGTGGGAGGCAGAAGTAGATGGATCTCTGAGTTCAAGGCTACCCTGGTCTACAGAGCAAGTTCCAGGACAGTCAAGGCTACATAGAGAAACCCTGTCTCAAAAAAAGCCAGAAAAAGAAAGAAAGAAAGAAAGAAAGAAGTGAGCTAAGTTCAGCTGCCTCCTAGACAATCCACATTGCTGCCCCAGGATTTATTGCTAATGATAAGCATACAGTAGGTGCTCACTTAATGTTAGTTGAAGGGCAAGGTCCAAGATCAGTATGAAAGGTGGATAAAGGAAAAGTGAACTATGATAGCTCTCTAGGGACAGCAAAGTAGGGGGTGGGGAGGGGGCAAACTTTTTTGGTTCCTAATAAGGGTCTAGCACTTTTCCAGTAACACTAAGAGGTAGGTGATAGGATTCTCCAGGATCAGAGAGTTCAGGCCCTTGATCAAACTACTTCCTGCTCAACGAGGAGGAGGCTGGTATGTCTCCCCTCATCCACCGATCTTCGAGAAGATCCTGGGGAAATGTACAGGGTCTCTTCAAGTGTTCCCACTTTTGAAATGGCCTCTGAATGACTTCGAGTCCATCCTAGCCACTTTCCTCTCCTTTTTGCTTATATTGTGCAGATGTATGCATGGCACCAATTCCAAGGTGTGCCTGTGGAGGTCAGAGAACAACTTGTGGGATCAATCTTCTGCTTCCATCATGTGGATCCCGGGAGTTGAACTCAGGTATTCCGACTGGGTGGCAAGAACCTACCTTCAGAGCCATCTCCATAGCCTTCATTTCTTTGGACTCTTTCGTTGTTGTTGCGTCTTTTGAGACAGGATTTGACAATGGAACTTAGGCTGGCCTCTAACACTCAGCTTTCCTGCCCCAGCTCCCCGCGTGCTGGATTATGACCTGTAGCTCCTGACTTTTGAACTGTGTGAATTCATTTATCAGACTAATTCCCCTCACAATTTGTTCCAGCAAACATTTAGCACTATATGAGAAAGGTGTACTGAGGTCTGGAGTCTAAAATGTTAGCAGCCTTTAACAGCAGGTCCCATCCCTGCCTTTTAATAGGTCAGCCAGTAAAAGAAACCCAGCCACGGCCAAAGTGTCACAGTGAAATGGCTCATGAAGGCCACGGAACACTCCCGGGTAGTTCCATGGGGGTGGGGCATCACTCCAACTAGGCCTGCTAAAGAATACAGCAAGGTGGGTGGGAAGTAGTTGCTTGCTGAATTCATACCCAGGGAGGACACTGGCTTTAACAGGCAAAAGAGTATTGGGCGGACCTCAGCTGGGGTCCTCATCCTTTGGTCTCTTGCAGATTCTCAGAATCCGAAATCTGGCGATTTATGACCGGGAGAGTTTGGGCGACTGTAGTAGCCTATATGCCAAGACGCTGTCCTCAATTAAGTTTAAACGCCCGCGCAACCCGAAAGCAGGCTTTGGATCCACAGGCGCGTCCGAGCCTCCGGGTCCACGCTCTTGCGTGCCTCCCCGCAGGAAGCCAGTGCCCAGCAAATACCTCTGTGCTGAACTAAGAATTGCTCAGCCTGGCCGTGGGGATCCAGGGCCGCTGGGTGCGGGCCTGGGCCGCCTGTTCCCGCCCGGTGGCTTTGTACCTCTCGGGGCGCCCGGGGCGCGTCAGGCTGAGCCCTGGCCTGTTGGGCGAGTTTTATGTCATCGTCCACCGAGCGTGCGAGCGCCGGTGCAAATAACGTTGCCCTCCCTTCCCTTCCCGTGACTTCTCCCTCCGAAAGTCTAGTTTGCAAACCTGAGCACACCAGGCAGGGGAGGTCCGGGGCGGGCCGGGTGCTGTTGGGTGTGGGGACCGGAGCCCGCCCCCCCCCGTCGGGCCGCCCCGCCCGTGCCGCGAGGCCACCTCACCCGCAGCGGAATGGAAACCGGTTCGACAGGTAACAAATAGGTGGGTTGTCACCGTTATTTCCCAACGCATGCGCCATCGCTCTCCCGGCCACTCCAAGCTAATTAGATCAGATCAACACCCCCACCCCACCCCTGCCCGAGCCACCAACACACACCGCCGCGAGCCAATAAAGCGTGAACCCGTCCGTCCAGCTCGCACTTGAAGACTTCGCGAGCGGCTGCAGGGACGCCAGTCGAGCCAAGGGACGCTCACTTGGCGCTTCTCGATCCGGGTGCACCTGGCTTCACCCGCTCTGCGGGCACCGGAGACTGTCGGCGGAGTTGGAAGCGCCACGCGCGGTCCCTGGTACTCTTTCCTCAGAACGTGGGCACGTCTTGACGACTCCTGTCTTGAACTGTCCCCATTCCCGCGCCCCAGCCCCGAAAAGGTGGGACGACCACCGGGACTCGGTTTACGGGAGCCAACCGCGCCGGGCCAGGAGGGATCGAAGATGCCCCGCGCGTTCTTGGTGAAGAAGCCATGCGTCTCCACGTGCAAGAGGAACTGGAGCGAACTCCCGGACGAGGAGCGCGGCGAGATCTACGTGCCAGGTGATACACCGCGGGCTCCCGGCGCCGGGAGGGCGGGGCGCACGAAAGAGCGATCGGCGCCGGTCAGTGGCGCTTGGGGACGCAGATTGCCACCGCAGGCTGACCCTGGCGCGGGAGGAGCGCGAGTGGGGGGAAGGGGCTCCAAGCCGAGGTTCTTGGCCGCTCACAGGCTCCGGATCGAAGGACCGTGCCGCGCCGCAGGGGACGCAGCGGGGTGTGTCACCGCTCAGGGACACCCCCCCCCCCCGCATCCTCCTCCCGCTCTCGCGTCGTAAATCCAGAAAACCTGGATTTTCTTGAGGCAGGAGAGGAGCACTGGAGCGATGCCACTTTGGAAGGGAGGGCGGGGGACTGAAAATGAGCTGGAGTTTCCGCTGAGACTTGGGCTACATTGTAAAGGAAAACTTGGAGCTTTAGACGCCCCCCACAACACTGCTCTGGTTAAGATAAGAGAGACGGGCTTCAGGGCCACCGAGTTTCCCTGGCCTCCAGCCTGATAGTCTAGGGGCTGCTGAGAAATACACCTGATGCACCTTGCTTGCCCTTTAGACAAAGGTGGTGTTGGGTACCACCTCTTTTCACCCTTGCAGAGGACACTAAAAAGGTGGTTCTGGAGCCCACCCCACACCTAAGGTACATACTTCAAAAAGCTGGTGTACCTAGTTTATTTAGGGAAGACACCTTGACAGTTTGTGCATCAACTTAGAATTAGTAACTGGAGTTGTCTCTTCCTCCAGCAGCATCTTCCCCCTAGGACGCTTCTGCTCCCGATTCAAAAACCCTATGTTAGGAGGCAAGAGAGCCCTTCTCAACTCCCCTCTCCCTGGTCTTGGGGGTGGGGCAGGATCGTACTGCCCTGCGCCTCCAAGGGGGGGGGGTGGTAATTAACCAACCGACTTTGACCCTTGATCTGCAGGCTCTCTGGCACCACCCAGGCTTTTCAGAAAGTCGGGAAATGAAGGTGGTGAGGGAGGGAGCCTATGTAGGTTCTTGCCTCAATTTCCCTCTTGAATAAGCTGTTAGTGTCTTGGGTGTAAATGTTTTGTGCCAGACCTGCCAGGATCCAGGGGCAGTAGGATGTTTTACAATTTAAACTTATCTCAAAAGGCTGTAAGGCTTTCTGAAGGCTTCTTAAACAAGAGAATGGGCCAGAAGGTCCTAGAATCCCCAGAGGGGGGGGGGATTGGAGAAAGGGAAGGGTGCCTTCTCACCTGAGGTGTGGGCTTGGGGTTTTGTGATTTCTGCTTGGCTCAGTGTTCTGGCCAATTATGCAGTGCTCCACCTCCGGAAGGGCCCGTGAGGGACACAGCCCCTTCCTTGCTCCAGCCTCCTCCCCAACCTGTGTTTGACTTGCTGCTTAGCTGCTCCTTGGGATCTGATAAACTGAACTTGGACTGTGCTAAAGGTGAGCTGTGTCTGAGCCAGGCTCAGAGTGCTGTTATTTTTAGTTTTATTTCACATCCCAATCAGTAACAGATCATATGTTGACTTTCACAAAGGACAAAGATACTCTGCTTATTCAAATTATTAAGACTTCCCAAGGTTCTAGAGGCTTTCCCCAGCACAGATCTGAAGAACACAAAGATCTGGCCTGTCCATTTGAGTTGTTAGTCCTCTGGGTGGTGGCTGCTACCTACTACTGCTGTCCTGATGAGGAGACATGCAGGTAGTTGCTCCCTCTCTCAGGATTGCCTGGGGTGGGAAATAAGCTCTTGGAAGAATTCCCCCTCATTGGTTGAGTGAAGAGAAAGACCTGGAGGTAGGAGTTCAGGACTCAATTTTCCTTCTATAAGTTAGGTGGCCGCTGAAGCCACAGTTTCCCACAGTTTTGGAAATAAAGAAAGGGAATAGCCTCAGTCTACGCTTGGATGCCTCAGATGGCTGGAGTGCAGGGGATGTTTTGTCTCCTCACTAAGCCATTCCATCACCAGCCAGCCATGACCCCAGGAGCCGGCTAGGCACGTTTCTGTCACCCTACCTCACAGACTCTTGGGGCACATTTTTTTGACCAGCTAAGCAATGACCCCATTCCCATAAGGAGGGCTGAGGACCATGGGAGTGTGCAAGTTCTGATTTTCCCGCCAGGGACTTGGGAGACCACCTGGAGGGGAAGGGTTACCACACACTGGGCATGTTGTATTGCCGGGCTTGACCTGGGAATTGTCCTTCACAATCACTTCAGCCTTGCTCCCTACACAAGCTTCCAGAGTCTTCTCTCCGGGTAGTCACTCCTTCAGCTTTGCAGAGAACACAGCTGAGAGCTGGCAGGCTGCGATGCAAGATAAGCCAGTGAGGAAATGATGCTACTCCCTACTGAAGACAGCACAGTTTAGGGGTTCACTTGGCTGCTCTCCACCATCCACCAACTCTCCTGTCTGTGTTTGCTCTGTGGTAACAAGGAAGGTTTGTTGTTGTTGTTGTCTTGTGTTTTGGATGAGGCAGATACTTGTAGCTGGGGGTAAGTCCCACTCCTGCACTATGGAAGAGTTCAAGGGACCACAGTGGAACAGATGCTCTGAAGCTTATCCTTGCTAAGTGAAGCCAAGTCAGGAAGGGACCTGGGGACACACTGAGCCTGAAAACTGGAACTCCAGGAGAATTCCAGGAGCCTCTCCCAGGCTCTCAGCGACCCCCTGCTTCACGTTCCCCTGTGGAAATAGTCTGGTCTGTTCTGGCAGCACATGTCCACAGCTCAGAAGCTTGAGCACAGACAGGAAAGGAAAGGAAAGCAGTTGGGAGGAGAGGGATCTGGGCACAGCTTAGCCACTGTTGGTGTTTGTGTCGTTGGTCATTTTTCAGCACACAACATATGAGAGGCAGGGGACCCCTGGTGCATGCTGGGTGAGGGCAGGGGACCCTGGTGCATGCTGGGTGAGAGGGTGAGGGTGCCACTGCCACAACAAGTACAGTTCTCGTCTGTTGGGAGCTAGGCCCCTGGCTCGAGGGCCAAGACTTGAGTTTTACTTCAGCACAGACACTGAATAAAAGGAAAGCAGTTGGGAAAGGAAACAGCTCCTGCCTTGAGTCTGCTGACATCAACCAGGACAACAAAAGGCTAAGAGCCGGGCCTGTGTGCCGGGGCCTGGCAGCATCTGCCAGCTGGCGGCTGCTGTTCCTTTCAGGTGCTGGCTAGCTAGCTGACCCACAGGACTAAGAGAGCTGAACACAGGGACCCAGCCCTTCCAGATCAGTGTGCATGGCAGCTGAAGCCATCCTGAGGTGTGCAGACCACATTCAGGACAGGGTTGGACCACATGTGCACACCACACCTGTATTTCAGGCATGCACACATCGACTTAACATGCTCTGTCCAGAAAGCTGGGATCAGGCCTCATGGGCAGCCCTATTTTGAGGCTTTTATGGGCTGGGACCTGGCAATCTGCTTGGTGTTTGGGCCAGTGACTGAAAGAAAGCCAGTGGAGAGTAAGGCAGGAAGTGGCCCATGGATGGGCACCCTTTTAAAATCTGGTCTGCTGCTCCAGGCCAGCTCTGTAACATCACCCAGGTACTGGCGATGGGAGAGAACTTGCCAGCCCCTGAGGGAGGAGGAAGAGGGCTAGCTGGGTTGGCCTCGCCACACTCAGTGGCTGTGGGCGGGAGTGATGAGTAGTAGCCACAGTGGCCACTGCCTTGCAGGAAACATCTAATTAGGGGACAGAGAGGAGCACCAGCAAGGCCCAACCAGTTTTGCCTCCTGCCATTCAGTGGCACTCAGGGTAGGCGGATAGCATGCCAGTGAGTGCTCCCTGTGAGCGTAGTGCTGGTACAGACACATTTGTGGGGGTGGCAGGGATACAGGTTTGGTGGGGTGGGTAAGTTGAGGCAAACATCCCCACCCTGACAGTCATATTGGCCCTTTGCTCAGGGTAGAGACAGCATGGAGTGCCCGTCTGGCCAGCTCTGTCCTGTCTGCTGTCCTTAGGGCCTTTCCAGATTTGTGTAGAAGGACAAAGAAAGGCAAGGGCTCATCCTCTACCATGGACTGCAGTCCTCAGATTCCTACCTCAGCCTTTCCTCCCCATAGAGCCAAGGAGTCGAGTATGATAGACAGCTCACCTCCCAGGCTGGCTGTCACTCTGCCCTCTGCTGATCCTACACCCAGGGCTGGCTTTCAGAAGCCTCACTCATACTCACCCCAAGTGACAGACTGAGGATGGCAGAGGTGTCCATTTTTCTTGGATTGAGAAACAAATTTGTTATGAGTATGTTTTTTCCCTGCCAGTTTTGTTCCACCGCCACGCCAGCCCCAAATAACACACGGAGACTCTGCATTTGATATAAAGCTGTTGGCCAGGTACTAGTTTCTTATCAGCTAGCTGTGTCTTAATTATTAACCCATTTCTATTAATCTAAGTATTTCCATGTGGTCTCATCTTACTGGAGAGAGGGATCTGGCGGTTCTTCTCTCTCCAGTCTCTCCATGCTGACTCCTCCTTACTACTTCCTCGAATCCTCCTTGTCTCCTAGTCCCGCCTATCTTCCTTTCCTATTGGCCAACAGTGCTTTATTCATTAACCAATAAGAGAAACATATTTACAGAATGACATCTCCCATCCGAAATTATCATCTAATTTTGGACTATCAGCCAGGATATCTGTCTGGTGAGTGGGCACCAGAGCCACCATTATTCTGACCCTACTGTCCTGGTTCTAGTCCTGGTGTCACACAGGCTCTACTATAGACAGACTGGTCTCTGTAAGCTGGACTCAAAGCTTGAGCATGACACCAGCCAGCATGGCTCAGAGAGAGGTGGTATGCCAACTCAGGTGCCAGGCCAGGGCCAGGCGCTAGTGAATCAACTCCTGGAATGAGGTGGCTCATTAAGGTCCCCGCACCCCCTGGACAGACGGACGCCAGCTCTAGAAGAACGGGTTCTGGGCGGCAGGCAGGCGCATTCTTCCTCTGTCAGACCTTTGTTGTGTTTTGAGGGGGCGAGAATTGGGCCTCTCCCGAAACTCAAGTACTTTTCTATTTACCTTCCCCCACAGCCCTGGCGGTCCCCCAGAAGAGGTGAGGGTAATAGCCTGGGCCTGGATCCTTGCTCTCCACTGACATCTCTGGCTTGTAATACAGTATTCAGGGGGCCTAGCTTGAAGCCCTGAAACCCTATTCTATCTGAGCCTGTTGGATTCATTCATCCTTTCTGTACCAGACCTCTCCCCCCCCCCCCCGTCTTGATTTTTTTTCCTTCTGAAACTAGGAGACTTCCTAATTCATAGGTTCTTAGATACAGAGCTTAGGTTGTACTGACTAATTGGAAAATTATACTTCTTGTCCCAGATCTGTTGGCCTTGAGACTTACTATCCGTGTTTCCAAGTCTGTCCTATAAGGATTAGGGCTCAGTGTTCCAGCCCAGCCTTGCAGGCCTGGCCCGTTTAGTTCACGGTGTTTGCTGAGGGGAGCGGCCTTGTCAAAGGGCTGCCAGGTATCGGTGATGCCACTGCACTGCCGGAGGGTGCCCAGCCTGACTGCCACAGTGAGCGGTCCCGCAGTGGGGGAGGGTTGTGTAAGCGCTGGGCAGGGTGCCCAGAGACTGTTACGAGCACCCACCTGCTGCTCCCTGGCCTCCTCCCTCTCCACCCACCTGGCCTCTTTGCTGACAGAGCTATGCCCAGCCTGAGCCCAGGAGTCCTGATGGGCTACAGTAACAGGGTTTGGCCAGATCAGGGGAAGAAAGGGTAGGACCACCCAAACCCCAAAGGTCTGCCCACTGGAGTGGCCCAGAAGGGTCCAGACTGCCAATGACCCTTCAAGGATTAGAATGAGTCTGAAGGAACTTTTCCTGGCCAGGGCCTCCAGCGGTGCCCTTTGTCCCCAGAGGAGTAAGGGCATGCTGGAATCCAGAGTGACTGGCCCAGGTGGGGCAGGCAGACACTTTGCAGCATAATTGGCAGGGCAACTCAGTCCTCCCAGTTCCGCTAAGAGAAGTTACTCAGGGGGCAGTGGCTCTTGGCTGGCGTCACCTGTAATTACCTTAATGGGGCAGGAGGGAGGTGCAGCATCTGATGGCCTAAAGGCCCGCCCTGCTCTGCCACATGCCTGCAACGGGGAGGTAGGGAGGATGCAGACACTAGCCTTCTCCTTGTGTATGCATCTCTCTGGAACTCTGAGGGACATTTTTTCCATCCACCCTCACCTGGCTGTTCTTCTCCCTCCAGTCAGCCTGGGCTTCTGTCCACCACCGCCCTATCAGGAACCAGAGCCGTCTGTGGCCGAACCCCCTTCTTGCCCTCTGGCTTTGGACATGAGCCTTCGGGACCCCAGCTATAGTGTGACCCCAGGACCCTGTGTGGTGGCCCAGCTACCCTCTGAGGATGTAAGCCATCTGACAGATCACCAGAGCAGAGACCAGGGTTTCCTACGAACCAAGATGAAGGTAATAACTTTAATTCTGTCTTGAGGACCAGGGGCATGTGTGGAGATGATGTCTAGCCCACAGATGAGGGGCACAGATATGACACAGGGAACCAGTCTAAGTCCTGAACTGCTACTTTTACAGACTCACTTAGACGGAGCACACAGAGGAAAGAAGCAGGTAGGAAATGAGGTTGTCTAACCCTTTAGCATCTATATCAGCAAGTGATCTAGTCTCATTTCTAGCCACGAAAGACAGGGGAACTGGTCTCAAGGTGAAGAGGCTAGCTAGAGCCAGGCCCAGTTGCATCTTGCAGAGTCCTATAGGGGCATGGAGCAAGAAGTCTGGATCAGTGGGGCAGTAGCTGTTCCTTAAAGCATATGGCAGTGAGCAGGCTGTGCACAGGGCAGGAGCAGCCCCTCACAGCTTTCTGTAACTCCAGTTCCAGGGGATAAAACATCTTCGGGCCTCCATGGGCACTGGGCAAGCATGTGGTGCACAGCATGACATATTACATGCAAGCAAAACATCCATAAACATAGAAATATAAAAAGTATTTCTGAGGCAGGAGGTCTAGCTCAGTGGGTAGAGTGCTTGCCTTGCATACACAGAACCCTGGGTTTAACCCTCAGCCCCACATAGACCAGCCATAATGACACACTGCTGTAGCCCCAGCACTTGGGATGGAAAGTTCAGGGTGAAAGCCTCAAAAGGTTCTGGAGACCCAATAGGAAGCTGGGCCAATACCCAGAGGGTCTTTGCAGCTCCTCTTAGTAAACATCACAGACTGGCCTCTGGAGGATGGGTCTGCTTTTCTTGAGGGTGTTATAGGATGGAAAGGGGCTGGCCAGTCTATACTCCTGATTTCTAGATATCTGCCATAAATACCATCCTCACCCACAGGTGACCTTGGGGGACAGTCCAAATGGAGACCTTTTTACCTGTCACATCTGCCAGAAGGCCTTTACTTACCAGCGCATGCTGAATCGGCACATGAAATGTCACAATGACGTCAAGAGGCACCTGTGCACATACTGTGGGAAGGGCTTCAATGACACCTTTGACCTCAAGAGACATGTCAGAACCCACACTGGTGAGTAAAGTCTGCCTCCGGAGGGAATGCCTCAGACCGGCCTGGGACCTGGGAGGCACATACTGAAGCCTAGGGCAGAGTCCTGAACTCACAGACAAGGACTGGATTCTGAGACCACTTGTTGGTTACCTGGTACTCAGGTGTCCTGACCTTTCTGTGTGTGGATGCTTCAGGCAGGCTCCACAGCCCAGCATGGTCCTGATGCTGACCCCTGTTGTCCACAGGTGTGCGGCCCTACAAGTGCAGTCTGTGTGACAAAGCCTTCACCCAGCGCTGCTCTCTGGAGTCCCACCTCAAGAAGATCCATGGTGTGCAGCAGAAGTATGCATATAAGGAGCGTCGGGCCAAGCTGTATGTTTGTGAAGAGTGTGGCTGCACATCTGAGAGTCAGGAGGGTCATGTCCTACACCTCAAGGAAAACCACCCCGATAGCCCACTGCTTCGCAAGACCTCCAAGAAAGTGGCTGTGGCCCTGCAGAACACTGTCACTTCCCTGCTGCAGGGCAGCCCCCACCTCTGAGCAGCCCAGGCCCCAGGAAGGATCTGGATCACTTCTCTGCTGCCCAGCTGGTTCACCTTCCTGCAGCCTCTTGCCAGAACATCAGTGATCAGGACCAGAGCCCTAAGGCCTCATAGCAGGCACACTCAGGCACTGACTTTGCTCACTATTGGAAATCTGTCTTACAAGCAGAGTCCATTCTGAGCTTGGGATGAAGAGTGCCTGTGTCAGAGCAGGGGTGAGGCCAAGAGATTAAAAACAGCAGCTTATACAGACAGGCCCTGTTTCCTTGCAGCAGAGCTTGAGAGATGTGTTGAGGGGGAGCCTGAGTACAAGATGGGCAATGGATCCCCAAAGAGCATCCCTGCAAACTGCTGCGGTGGTGGGGCTGGCAGAAGCCCACATACCTGCAGGGCTAATTCTCAGGGTTCCTAGGGCTCTGCCCTTTCATCAGACAGAGGCTCACATGTGTACAGCCATGTGCATGCTTGTGTATGCGTCCTGTGCATGTGCACTCATGGCCTTTCCATATCAACTCATTCTTAAGAAACTAACCACAAGGTGCCAAGGAGGTTTTATTTCCTTTTTGTAAGATGACAAATGTACAGATATTAATATATTTTTGGTGCCCACAGTAAGACTGTTTTTAAAAGGGATGGAGCTGGCTTTTTCTCCAACCCCATTGGTTCTATTTATCCTGGACATTTCAAACCTCCTCTGTGCCTTGGTTCTGGGGGTGGTTATGCACACCCACCCCATTCTCTGAGATGTTCCATTAAAGATCACTGTTCCTCTTGCTCTGCCCCTGGACAGTGCCTCACCTCTCTCCCCCCCCCAATCCCCTAGCATCACATCCTTCCCCAGTCCCGTTTTTCTTGGTAAGCCAGATGACAGTGACTGTCTGGGTGTGGCTAAGTGGCAGTGGGTCCTACTGATATACTCTTTGACCAGATGGGCTTGTAAATTTTTTAACACCAAGTCCGAGTCCACCGTCTGAAGTACTAAGACAAGGGGAGGAACAGGCCCGGAGTCTGGGTTTTTTCCTGGCTATGTCAAAAATTCTTGAGCAGCAGCAAAATTTGAGACAATAATAATCCACATACCAGAAACTTAGAGAGGGAGTCTGTTCAATGGTTAATAAAAATCTCTGTTGTCTTCTGGTTTCCAAATGCCTTGGACTGAGTGGCTCCTCTGAGGGAGTGGGTCTTTGTCCACTGGTGTGTTTGGGTATCCTGCTGAGACCAGAAAAGGGTTGTAGGTAAAAAAAGGCACATGTCTCATGGGTCCAAGGAGTTACAGGCAACCTGCAGAGAATGAGACAGACCCACAGACAGGCCCAGAATGTGACAGTATGGGAAGCCCACAAATGCCAAACAGTACATCCTCTCCTGCCTTCTCAGTTCAATATGTGCACAAACTCAAGATCTGGCCCTAGCTGGGGCTCACTCAAGAGGACAGAAGCTTCTTAGACTATCTCTGGACTGAATGCAGACTGATATGGAGACTTGCTTCATGTTACCTTAATGTGTTTGGGCTGCTTACCCTCTTAACTTATCAAATGTCAGGACCACCATGTCAGGACCACAGTTTACATCTCTGTGTCACTTATGCTTTGCCAATCCGAGGCCGCCAGAAGGTTTGTATCGTTTGTCTTGTTTTATAACCTTCTATTCAACTAGTAAGTCAGAGAACTAATAATTTCTGTATTTCTGGGGGTTTGTATTTTCCTCTTGTACCTCTTTTACCTTCACGCAGAGAAATTCATTAAAACAATTGCTGCTTCTTGCCAAGCCTTTTCCCTTCTCAGTTTCCTGGGTTTCCATCAAGACAAGACCCTGACCTAAGCTGGGAATGGTGACAAACCCTTTAATCTTGGCACTCAGGAGACAGAGGCACCTGAGTTTGAGGCTAACCTGATCTACAGATTGAGTTTTGAGCCAGCCAGGGCTACATAGTGAGATCCTGTCCTACCCTGAGCTGGGAGTTGTAATTCCTGTAATTTCAGAAGTTCAAACAACATAGGTGCATCAGAAGCTGAAGGTCAGCCTTGGCTACGCAACAAGTTGGATGGTGATGGGAGGCCCAACCTCCAATTAACAATAAAAAGGAACTTGGCCCCACCTGGATGGTGGGTGCTAGGTCTCAGGGTCAGTATCTCTGACACCAGTGCAGTCTGCTCTGATCTGGGGGATGGCAGTAGGGGGTCTTTCTTGGATTCCTTCTTCTGCCTAATGCTCAAGTATCACTGAGGATCTCCATGGGCTCAGGGCCTCTGGCTCTGGATAAACACTTGAGGCACTTACCCTAACCCCTTCCCAGAAACTGGTCAGGGTTGGACCAAAGGGAAGAACCACATCCCCACAGATGGGACACAAAGTATTATCTCCAGTCAGATCCTAGGGATGACCACACATAGCACTTGTTGGTCCCAGGCACAGGAAGCAGTTTCCACAGATGACCTTACCTGACTCTCCAAGCAGCCTCAGCTAGACTCTGTTACTGTCCCCAAGCCCAGTAAAGGGGAGTCTCACAACTAGGAGTAGGGTCAGATTAATATCATCTACTCTGGGCCACATGATGGTGGCACATGTCTTTGATCCTAGTACTTGGGAGGCAGACGGATCTCTGTGAGTTTGAGACCAGCCTGGTCTACAAAGCAAGTTCCAGGAGGGCTCCAAAGCTACACAGAAAAACCCTGTCTCAAAAAATAAAAAAAAAAAAAACCAAAACACCTAGCCTACGCTGAGAAGTCCCTGCACACTGCTGGCAGAGAACCTAAGGCCAAGTTAAAAATGTTAATAAGGAGATGTGAGTTCCCCTCCTCAAAACAAACAAACAAACAAAATGCAACCTCAGAAGTGTGGTCTCAGCTGGACATAGTGGCACACACCTATAACCCCAACCCTTGGAGGCTGAGGAGGAGGATTTGGAAATGGAAGGCCAGCCTGGTCAGCATTAGTGTGAGAAAGCAGGGCCCGAAATTCAGTCCTTTGCCATGAAAGGAGGCCATGACTCCCAGGTTTAGTGGCTGTTCCTAAGTCGGCAGAGCTGGGTGGCAATGCTCAAGGACAGGCAGAATGGGAAGAAAAGGCTGGAAATGTGGACCAGGAAGGCTGTGCCTGGCTCAGAAAACAAACAAACAAAACAAGATGGAGAAGTATCGCTGCACTACTATGAATACTTTCTTTTATATCCAGCCGTCACCCAGGTGAGTGGTGGCCCGGAAAGAGCAGGGCCTGAATCAAGAGGCAGGGCTGGTCCAGCCCTCTCCCACTGTCCATGATGCCTTAGGCAACCGCTCTGTTTCCTTATTTATAAAATATGTGGATCCTAAGTTCAAAAGTCCCTTCTGCTCCGAAGAGTCTGGGGCCCCGCTTCAAGCCCCTCTGGAAGAAGTGTCCTGACAGATTACAATGGAGATGAGGTTGCTGAGGTTGGCTAAAAAGCCCTTGAGGAGAGGCAGCCTAGGGAAAAAGTCATGTCATTAGGAGGAAAAAAAAGCTTCTTTAAAAAATATTTTTTATTATTGTATTTATTTGTTTTGAGATAGAGTCTATGTAGACTAGCCTCAGACTCACAGAGATCTGCCTGCCTCTGCCTCCCAAGTGCTGGGACTAAAGGCCTGCACCAGCACATCCAGCTTTTCACTATATTTCACCTACTTATTTTGTATGCATGTGTATGTATGTGCACAGAGGTGCACAGAAGCCCGAAGACAACTTTCAGGAGCTAGCTGTTCCTTTCTAACATGCTGTAGGTCATGGGGATCAAACTCAGGTATTTAGACTTGGTGACAACCTTTATCCATGGAACCATCTTGCCAGCCCAAGGAGGAAAATTTCTTCAGCTGGTTCCTACCATAGAACCTGGGCCAGTGAGATACCAGGGCTAGATGGGTGCCAACACCATTGAAGAACTTAAGAGTCTTCCAGCCCTGGAATGGCCTGACCATGGGAGAGAAGTGGTACACTTATAGGACTGCTGGCTGAGCAGTTGTCAGGAATGACTATAAGGCCCCATTCCAGAGATTACAGGCAGGGCAAAATAATCTCCAATGCTCCTTCATCCACAGTTCTGTGAGACCCGGAAAAAGTACTGTTGTCAGCCTTAACAAGGCAGAGCTGGAAGGAGATGCTGGTGAATGGACAAAATGAAAAGAAAATACTGGAAAGTGTGGGATCAGTTTCAAGGCTGTACCTGGCTGTGTTTAGGTGGTGAAGGCTTGACTTACTGTTGGAAGGAGCTTCTATGATCTATCTTCTGGGTCTACTCTCCTAGGTGATGGTAGTCACCTGACCTAAGCTGTCCCATTCTCCTGTCCAAAACCAACATGCTTCCTTCCCACTCGTCTAGCTCCTCCCTAAGTTACTGGATCCTGTTTGGACACCTGCTCTCCTGCATGTTGGCTCTAATGATGCATCAATGTCTTCCACTCCCTGCAGCTCCAGCTGTGGACACCAGGCTGGAGACGTAAGGGAGGATTAACGGAGAACCAATCTCCAGGCTGGAGAAGGCAGGCATGTTACACACTGGGTCTCCTGAGCCTGTGAGGTGGTTCAGTGTGTAGAGGCACTTGCCACCAAACCTGACTGCCTCAGTTCAATCCCTGGGACAAATACAGTGGAAGGAAGGAACTGCTTCTTGCAAGGTATCCTCTGACCGTCATGTACACACAAATAAATGAACAAATTGGATCTTCCTAGCTTTCTTCAGGGTCATAGTGTTTGTTAGCCAGTTGTCTCTGCTAATCTATAAAGCTGTACTGATGTGTCTTTACTGTTCTTCCCTCTCCTCCCTATCTCAAGATATATCATTTCCCATTAATTTTTTTTTGTTTTTTTTGTTTTTTTTTTTTTTTGTTGTTGTTGTTTTTTTTTTTGGTCTGCTGAAACCATGGAACATAAAGCCCTGGACAGGGGGATTTCTATAAGGTGATAGCATGCATTCCTACACAAATCAAGCTTTTAAAACACAATGAGACACTATCTCAAAACATCAACAACAGGTGACCAGAGTTGTGAGTGGTAGCAGCTGGATCCCTGTGCCATCTGCTGCTCCAACCCAAACATCAGTTTCTCTCCCAACTGCTGACTTGAGGGAGAGCTGACTGAGGCATGGCCCCTTCCCATCTCTACCCCAACCCCTATCATCAGCAGAGAAGAAATCCAGATAGAAGTTGCCAACAGCAGACAGCAGGTGGATGGCACTGAGTATCCAGACTACTAAGTCAAGATGCTGATGTTGCCACTGCAGAATAAACCATGGTGAGACCCCCATCATTCCATCATTCATGCAAAGACCAAAACAAGAAAAGCTCTTGCAGCACAAAAAGTCCTGTGTCACTTGCTATGAACTCAAAAGTTCTTGGAGCAATATTGCTTCAGGCACACACACAAACAATCCTGTGACCACAGGTAACCACTGCTTCCGTTTATTGAGCTCCTACTATGCGCTGGGCTGTGGTGTATTGGGATTTGTCTCTGACATCATCTCTAAACCCCATAAAAACCTGCAGAGGTAGCTATTATTGTGTCTATTTTTGGACAAAAAAAATGAGGCTCAGGAAGATGAACCACACTTGTGAGTGACGAGCCACAATCTAAGCTGGGTCTGCCACACCCCAACATTTGGCTGTTGTCTCTAGAACTTCTCTTTTTCTAAAATAAGAGTTCCCTTCTGTTTGCTTGTGATGGTTCTGTGGCCACCAGGCACTATGTCAGGTGTGGTATGGAAGCTTTAGAGATCCAAAGATGAATAGGAGCGTAGTGAGCTATTCAATATCTCACTACATAGGAGCACCCCTCCAGAAGTTCACAGCTCTTGGGAGAAACAATCCGCACAGTCCATGAACCACAGAAGGGTGGGCATATCTATGGGGAGAAGAAAGACATCCAGCCCTCCATGGACATTGGCCTCAAGCAGATGTCTCTCAAGCTCTTTGGTGTTATTCCATATGGACACCGAAGAGAAGAATAAGGAAAGGGAAGGAAGGTCCACGCCTTGATAACCATACTCCTCATCTGTCACCCATTTTACACCTGCCATTTCACTGAGTGCTCCTACCCTGAAGAGTTGTTACTGTCACTTTATAGACACAGAGAGACAGGCCTACCAAGATTAAGAAAACAGCCCAAGTCACCAAGCAGAATGCATGTGTTCTCTCTAGGATACTGGTCTTCCTAGAGGTGTGCAGATGTGACAAAGGACAGTGTAGACATATGAAGACTACTTCTAA